CATCCGAGCAAAGGAATGAATGGAAAATCATGATCGCCGATGTCTGTCGCAGATCTGGCACTGGATGATGATGATGATGATGATGATATTGCAAATGCGGTAAATCTCTCACTAAAACATTACAAAACATCACAGATGGTTTGAATAATGATGCCAGCTATCGTGCCCATTTGCCCTACAGTAAATGTGTGTGTCCACTCGTCCATTTGGTGTCTTTGGTGTAGATGTAGACTCTTCGCTGTAGCTCTTGGAAGACGTGAGTGTGATTCCCGAGTGGGGAGGTTTTTAATCAAGTATCCCTTTCTGTCTGCTATGGTGGGTGTAATGTTGCTCTCAGCCCTGTTTGTCCTCGACAGACATAGTGGAAGAAGCCCGCTCTTAAATGACACAAACTGTGTGATGGGGACGTAAAATATTGACAACATCTTCGTTTCCTCAGGTCCGTACTTGTACGCTGATGTGCTAGACCAGAGGTCCCTGAAAGAGATCTGTGTCAACTACGAGATCGACTGGCTCGTCCACTTCGGCGCTCTGCTCAGCGCAGTTGGCGAGGCTAACGTGCCCCTCGCCATGGAAGTCAACATAGAGGGCCTGCACAACGTGCTAGAGGTCTCAAGACGCTTCAATCTCAAGCTCTTCGTGCCAAGCACCATTGGTAAGTGTTGTGGGGGTGAGCTAGAAACAGGTGTATGCTTGGAGCGGGGGGGGGGCGCGTTGGTGCGGGGCACTTTTACAGCACCTTAACACATACAGCTAGTGACTCTACAAAAGGGTTTTTTAATTGATATGCATCGGGATGTCGGTGAGCTTCAACTGTTTCTAAACTTTGATAGCTAGTGTCTCTATTAAATACGAATAAATGATGAGTGCTGGGGAGCTTTAAACAGCATCTTGACATTGATAGTTGTCTGGTGTTCTAATAAGTAAATTATACATGATGAGTTTCAGAATGAAAAGAAAAAAAAGTATTGAAATTCTATTAGACATTTTCCGCTCTTTTTTCTATCGTCATAAAATACTCCATGACTCCACATAGGTATTAGTCGATGTCTTCCGTCACCCACTATGCCCACAACAAGAGATGCAATCTTCCGAAAACAAAATAAATCAAGTTTGGAGAGACTTTATTTTTTCCCAGTTTGCATTAATGAACTAAGTTATTATGCTATTCAACTGGCAAATGAGCTAACCATTATATCACCTTTTCCCCTGACCTACAGGAGCCTTTGGGCCGGACTCCCCGCGTAACCCAACCCCTGACCTGACCATCCAGAGACCACGGACAATCTACGGAGTTAGCAAAGTGCACGGGGAGCTCATGGGAGAGGTGGGTAGCCAGTGATGGTGTCTGTAGTTAATCAAAATACGTGATACAATTGAAGGGGTCAAGTGAAAAATGGAATAAAAGGATGAGTTGCATTAATCCTACCGTGTCGTAGCCTTTTTTCTCTTTTTTTTTAGCGATGGCTTTTTGCTTATTTTTAACTTCATTGTTTGTGAATGACTTTATTGCTTTGTCGATTGGATGTTTTCAGAGAGGTAACGTACAGGTACTATTGTAAGTTAAGCGCTAGTGTTCTGATTTAATTTTTTTTTCTTCTAAAAATGGACGTATCCTATTTTTCTTTTCACTCGATCCCTTCATTTGTTTTGGTAGTCACTATTATACAGCGCCATGGACACAATGCAGAACACCTTGAAGGCAGGCTGATTCGACCTTGTCTATCAGGCAGAATGACGGAGTTCAGAGCATGGATCTGGTTCCTGAGCTATTGTACCCCCACCCCTCCTTCTCTCTCTCCCTCTCACTCTCTCTTTCTGTCTCTCTCACTCACACATACTCTCTCTCTCTCTCTCTCTCTCTCTCTCTCTCTCTCTCTCTCTCTGAGTTTACATCGAAGTCCTAAGTGCAACATAGCGATTTCCGGTTGAGATCAGGGTATTTGACACGGATCACAAATTTGAAGTATTTCAAATTTTCTATGTAATATAAATACAAACTTATATTTTGATGTGGCTGGGTTCGAATACTTCTTTTCGTCGTAAAGTTTGACCTAATCTGCTGGTAATTTTACGGCAGCCTGAGGTAAATCCATCTTTCGCCATTGTCTTTTCTTGCAGTATTACCACCACAAGTTTGGCATGGACTTCCGCTGTCTTCGCTACCCTGGAGTCATCTCCACAGACCAGCCCGGCGGGGGCACAACAGGTATGGGCGTTGGGAGGGTGCTGGTGTGTGTATGTGTATGTGTGTGTGTGTTTGTGTGTGTGTGTGTGTGTGTATGTGTGCGTGTGTGTATGTGTGTGTGTCTGTGTTTGTGTGTGTGTGTGTGTGTGTGTGTGTGCAGAGTAGTCCAGGGTGGGTGGTTGGCGGATGCTCTGGTACGGTTTGCTCTTTTTATCCTATCCAACATCTATCGTTCTTATCTCTTTTTCTTATTCTTTTTGTTTGTAACTCCCCAGTAACACCTCTAATCTTCGGCACTTATAAGACCTAATTGTGTTGCAAGTGCTGTAAAACGCTTACTAAAACAAAAATAGAGTCGCCCGGAAGGGAAGGGGGGAGGGGGTGGATACTGGCTTATTCCGAATACCTGATTGGAGAATGTTTCGTGGCTTATGGCTTATTTTGAAAACGAGTTGTGGGTGATTGGAGAATGCTTGCTGGCTCATTCTGAATAAGTGGTGTTTATGGTTGGAGGTAGTACTTGCAGAGGTGAATGCTCTTCAGATTATTAGGCAACGCCCCCCCCCCCCTTTAAAAAAAACTACCCCACATTTTTAAGCCCTTAAGCAGGTTTTGCAGACTAGTCTGTTTGATTTCTGAAAACGTAGTATCCGCCTCATCTTCGAGCCACGTCTAAGAACGCCAAGAAGCCTTTAAAACACACTTTCGCCTTCTCTGTCTGTCTGTCTGTCTGTTTT